CTCATTCCTCCACCCCGCTGTTTCCCCAGAGTGCCATGTCATTACGGGCTCCCCGATACATTACCTACACGAGAGAGCTCGCTAGTCAGGTCATACATTACACTCTGACCTACGGTTCGGACAGAATAATAAAAATATCTAATTCAAATACTCCAAATATCGGCTCACTCTCCGATCCTTCGGAACACTGGCAATGCAGAGCACGTCATCAAAGTCATCAGGAATCCACCCGAGCGGGGAGGACCGTCCACATGCACAAGCTTTCGCCCATTATAACGGTGCCCACAGTCACTTCCATCCTGTGTGACCTGTGGAACATTGTGCACGATGCTATTTGTCGGATTTGCGCCGGTGAATTAGAAATGACGGCGGCGAAATTCGAGAAGTAGTCATTCCGATTTCCTCTCTGAATACGGGGGAGCTTCGTATAGCCTGCTCAAAGCACCGAGAGAAACAGTCCGGATGACTTGCGGTGAGTCCAAAACTTTCCGCTCCTCCCCACAATGTGCGATATAATATCGAGACTGTCGAACACTGCTAGACAGCAGCCTATGGAAAATCAGCAATTGGAAGGCTCTGGAGTTGCTCGTGTACTATTCAGTCAGCCTGTCGGACGCTCTCGCGGCGCTCGAGCGCGAATCTCTTCAAAAAGAGTCCGCGTCCAGCTGCGCTCGCGTACTTGCAGGCGCGCGCTTTACCCCTCACCCCTCTGTGGATCGATGTTGGTGAATTTTCGGAGGGCGATGGACGGAGTCGCGCACATAATTTGCATTTCTCCCAATAAAGCTCCAGCTTCATCCGATCTGAGGATAATATTTTCGGCAAATAACTGCTGTGGGCTTGCATCGAGGAGTCTCTGAGCACTCCAAGACGGAAGCAAAACTTTGGCAGCCGCTAGCGCAAATCTGCCTCAAGGATGTTGGGAGCAGATGCGCAAAGAATTCATGGAACAGAAGAAAGATAGACTCGAAGGGTGGCTGCTCCTCTTGTCCCCCTCGAAAGGCAGATCATGATGCATCCGTATAGGTTCGGCGAGGGAAAGCTCCGAATACATTTACGACTCGAGCGATCTCAAATCACGTTTAAGACATACCCCGCGCCCATCAAATGAGAAGCGATGCGCCAAGCTCTCTAGAATGAGGAGCCCGGAGGTATCGCGATGAGCGTATCCCTGGAGACGGTTCTTCCGTGCTTTAAGTTTTTTCCCAGCTTGCTCACTGGAGGCAAAGTCGAAACAATCTTTTCTGAAATCCAAGCCGGACTCTCGGCCGGAGGACTCAATCACAAAGCACCCTTGCCTGGAATTGGGTTCCCTCGAAGGAGGATCGACAGCCATAGGATTATCCCGGTGTGTAAGCCATCCTCGATCGCTGCTCGTGATTTTTGATACGCAAAAGTTCCGGTTGAACGATGTGAGTCTCCAAGCAGCTCCTGATATCAAGATCGGGAGTCCCACAGACCTGAAGTTTCTCGAGGAGCTCTGCGGCGTACGCTGTCGATGGCTTAAGTCGTGGCTGGAGCTCATTTGATTTCCAGTCCGCAGCAGCGGTGCTTTTAGGCGACCCGAGTCTCTGAGGAACAGTTGTCCCTAATTTGGTTATTCATCAACGAACTTTGTCTACGACTGTTCCCGTTGAAAAGTAGAGTTCCTACCTCTCAGTGCGTAGGTGGACGCTCGGCAGCGAGGCGGCGGGGGATGAATGGGCACACCGTAGAGCAGGACAAGAACGGTTCCCTCTTTTTCCCAACGACAGCAGATCTCTCCCTTGGGAAAGCTAATTTCAAGTCCCTGAACTCAAACTGCCGAGGAAAGATGATTTTGAACGTTTCCCCAGCCTGCATCACCGAAACTGACTTCGCGAGTTGCTGCATAAAGCAGCTCGCGAGAAACTCGACGCCTCTCCGATCTCATGGGAAATTGATCTGTCTTAAAATCTCGGGGAAAGTTTGAAACTTGATTGTCCAAGCTGCTAACTCCAGCGTCGAGAAGTCACGTTGCACCTGTCGAAAGTGATTCCTCGCTTCGCATAAAAATAACTCTCATGCCCCAGCGATCCGTAGAGTAGAAAGTTTGATGGTGAGCTGAAACTCAAAGTGCTAGCCACCGCAAACAATCTCAAGACGAGCTCCAGCAGCCGAAATCTCCTAATTCACCCGGGCTTATTCAAGAGCGAGATGTATACGAGTCAAGCCCAGAGACGGAAATCGAATCTTCAAATTCAGGGCTGATCCCGTTGAGGGATATTTGATTTTTTAATGCATACGTGATATTGGGAAAACAAACACGTTTTTGCTGCGCGCGATTGCTCGCCCCCCGCTGCAGCTCTCCGTACTAAGCCAATGAGCTCCTCTTCCGACACCGCGTTCCACATAGGTATTCCTCGATCCAGGCCATGCGAAAGGATCGTCCGACCAGACACCCTTGCCCAAAAAGTTCCGTCTTGCCATAACTGGTATTAGGGGTCATATACAGCTTTGTAACTTTGCTTTCCTGTCCAGTGCAGTAGCATTAACATGGCCCCATAAACGTACGATACTCTTCCGCCGCCTGCATAAGACTTAAGGCACTCGCTCGCCCTCTTGCGCCCCCTAGCCCCGTTCGTCCGTCCCGATACGCTCTCTCGGGTCAAATCGAGTTAGGAGGCATTGAACGAGTGAAGGCGATCCCAGTGGCGAACGCGCTCGAACACGAACAGCTACACAGACATTCACACACGCAAGCTCCCCCATACAAGGTAGCAGCATATTCATACGTGAGAGAAACAGCATCGGGGACCCGACCACACAGATCTGATTATAACCCTATTTCAACTAGCGCTGCGGCGGTCACTGTCGATCTTGGTTATCTCACTATCGAGAGCGAGGCAAGACGTTGAGAAATAGAACCCCTACGAATCAGCGAGGACCGATAGCGGTCATCTATCATGCGGAAGAACCGTGAGGAAACAGAGATTTGTCCGCCGCCGCCGCTCCCGCCCGCTTGAGGTTCACGGCATGAAAACAACGGGAAACACGCAGTCACCTATGCAGCCGATTCCCTTCCGGCAGTGTTGCTGGTCTATTCGCTTTCCTTCGTAGCCCGCTCGGTTCTCCTCTTCCAATAAAAGCGTTCATACATTCTTGATCAACTCAATCACTGCTACAAAAACCCATCCCGCTGTTGCACTCGGTTCCCCCTCAGAGCGGATCTTGTCTAAGCTCTCCATTTTCTTGCATGTCAACAGCGACTTTCGAAAGACGCACAACCGACAACAACCGAAAAACGCTCATGGAGGATGTTGCAGCATCGTCGTCGAGTTTCTAGCGGAGTTTCATATATCGCATCCGATATCTTGGCGGCTTCGGACCGCTTTCAGTTAGGGACGTTCTCGAGCTTCGACTCAGAACGATGCGGGAGCGGAGAGGTCAGACTTCGTCGAGATCCCGCGAGCCGACGGAGAGAAGCGAAACCCGAGCGGCAGCCGACACTGTTACCGCACAGCCCAAACAGCCTGTAGAAACGCATTTGGTTTACTGCAAACACGATCTGTGGTGCAATGTTCTGCTGTCTAATGAAACAGCGGGACGTCTGTGTCTCGCCCGGTTTCTCCGAGCAGACTTGTTGTCCTGCCAATCCCGTCGGCGTCCTAATTAAACAACCGACTAAGCAGTGGAAAGACACTCGTCCCGTCATTGAGTTTTCGTCGCCAACGGTGTCATCAGGAAATCTCGAAACATCGTGGAATTCAGTCGTCCCGTGTCTCGCGTCCATCGACGTAAGGATTTCTTTGTTCGCCTCGAGCGAGGGCAGCTCTCGTGTAGCGCTGGCTAGAGCCCATTTGCATGAGGGCCATTCAGAGCGTAGGAAACGCGCACAAGAGACATCGGAGAGTGTGACAACTCGATGATTGTGCCGCGTTTTCGTTCTGGTGATTTCCTCGAGAATCTCTCCCAATTATCTCCATCGTAATGAGAGCGACAAGGCAAACCGCACAATTGCTCACCCGGCACGGCAGCTGTCGCTGTTCGTTTTCTCCCATTAGATTCAAAGGCGGAGGGTCGAGCGCGGACTCCCTTTCAGACTAAATTAAAACCACTGCCGTCGAGAAGGGTCCCGCGGTGGACAAGGACCAGACAATAGAAGCTGGCGACCAAGCACAGCAAAGAGTGAACCCGCAAGCGAGAGGGGACGGGGGGTTGACATCCTCTTGGGTAAAGGCCAACGGGGTGACAGTTGAGTGGTAATTATCTACCCGCGACTCGAGGGGATACAAGTGAACACGGTTTCGCCGCGCCGGCTTAGCTCGCAGATGTTACAAAGCTTTGTCAAACGACCCTGCAGAGCATCGAAGCCCCTGGGGTGCCGCTGTTGAATCGAAAACACCGGTCTCATTGATATAATATGTTGACCCGTCCAGCTCTGTTCCGAAGACTTGCAAGTTCTCGCACGCTGGAACATCACCGCATGCCACGAATCTCTCGATGCGGACGGCTCACCGAATTGGCTATTCGCTCGGTATGGTTCATTAAAGAAGTCACTTCTCAATGACTTGTAATAATAATGATAAAAGGGCTGTACCCGGGGAGGTGAGGATTGACAGAGGACGAGACGTTTCCGACTATCGATTCGCTCTCCGTACGTGGGACCTCCAAGCGTTCGGTCCCAGAAGCGGCAGCGTTGAACGGCGCGTTCGAATATTCGGAATCATGATAACCTCGCGCTGCTCAAGTTCGCTCCAATGACGAAATCAGACATAGCAGCGTAAGAGCCTTCTTTTCGGTTCAAAGCAAGAGTTCAGACAAATCAAGCCGATTGAAAAATGTTTGCGGAATCGAACGATGGGACGCACGCGACTTATTTCTGATGAAAAATGCATCACCGGCATGCCCTTCATTTAGTTCGACCCCGCGCAATGCCAGGCCGAATGTTGTCGAACAGATATTCACCCAGTCCGAACTTTCGTCGCGCGTCCAAATCAGAGTGGTCGGGGGCAACCCTCTGCTCACACATATACGTAGAGATGGACGAGTGGTGTGAAAATAAGTTCGCTAGCTCCATCGCTCACAAGTCGGCGCTTCAGTCGCGGTATCAGTCCACCGAGGAGCCGATCGGCGTCGATACACAACAGAACACCAGCGAATTGGCGAGTTCTACCTCCGTCTTCAATCGAATTATCGGCGACGTGAATAAATGTCTTCGCGGTATGCCTGCATTCGAGACGAGGAGCATAGACTAATGATATGTTCGTTCTCCGCTTTCGACTCTTCGGCTAATCTATGGCGACAGCTACTCCGCGCGGATAGCAAGACCGCAACAAGACGGACGGAGTTAGCGGAGATAACATCTCGGTGATCGATCCGGAATCCTAGGATGGATATCCGATTGCCCTCCCCTCCCCCAGCCGGGTCCGCCCGCAGCGCTTGCGTTCTTGAACCCTTCAGATCGTATTTAACTTTCGAAGAAAACCATGGAGAAGTCCTCCGAAGCGAAGGAGCCTACGCGGCGTCCGACAATCGTCTCTTCCCGTCTACCGGTTTCGTTCACGTTACTCCCACTCCTACTGCTACTCCTTGTTGCTCTTCCAAGGCCTGTACTCCTCAAGGAGCCCGCGAGCGGCTCCGAGCTTATCTATTATGATGATAGAGCCATATATAACGCTACTTGTTGTATCTGCTTACCCGTTCTCGCAAAGACGAGGAACAACTGGGAACATCACTACTGAGTGAGAGGGCATTCGAGGAGAGAAACGAGGGGTAGGTGGAATTCGGAGACGAGCAGCTAGACGGCGGACTCGAGGCGACTAGGCCCTCCGGCAAATCAGATTACGTGAGAAGCGGAGACCAGACCACCCCATCGAAGATGACACCTTGGCTCTTTGTTCTGTCAGGGATGAGATGACCGCTCCAGATGACTCGCTTTGAGTCCTGCCGCCTGATGTTCCACAGCTGGGCCAAACGTTTGACATCCTTTGATTCGCGGGAACCCCCATCCAACCGCTAAGTCTATTCGGCCCCGCCCGCTCATCTCACGGGTGTGCCTTTTGTCGTCATCGTTGGTCATCTGGAGCTTATCTTGTTTTCGTTAGGGTCCAAGATGTGGATATCAAGTCCGAGCTCCTACTTAGGTGGCGGAGCCATAAAGTGGTTTTGTTATTGAAGAAAGACGTTGCACCCCGAAGGTATGTGCACATTAAGGTAGCTAACACTGCTATTCGAGCGGCAGTAGCTTGTGGTTGCTCGCCGACTCCCTCTTTGGCCGTGGCGGCTAGGGGTAATACCCTATCTGTATGCCCGAGCATCTCGCAAGCCAAACGACCCGGGGGCCGACAGCACAGCCTCATTCGAAGGGAGAGGAGCGATCCTGCGCTTCAAATATTTAGATACATTTCTCAGCTTACAGAATTACAGCCATGCGAGCCTGAGTTGAGTGGGGACGACCGAAAAAATATGACGGGTAACAGAGAAAGAATTTGTTTTTAGTGCTTCCGCCTGGCTTCGGTACGCTCATCCGAGAAGCCAGGTCACCTCGCTGAAAGCGTTCCGCAGATTTCATTAAAACACGGTTCGTTTATTTCTTCGCGCGGGACCCGTGGTCGCCACATCGGATCGGATTATTTTGATCGGTCGCCAGACCGAGCCGCTTGGAGCAGAGGTATCTCCCCGAGAAATTTGAATCGAGCGCCACGCGTCATCCGCGACGCTGCGGACCCTCGAGACAGCGAGCGTCGATTCGAATTCGACGCGTTTTCCGCGTTCCCCAGAGACCACACTGGTACGAACGAGTCACCGTGGAGGAGTTGGCAGCTTTTACCGCCTTTACCACTGTTGTGAGAATTCGGCTCTTGCGAAAGCCGAGCTGAACGCGCGAACGAGCGAATAAGAAAGAGATGAGGAGACGCCGGGAGAGACCGGCCGAGGGGGGAAAAGTGCAAAACAGATGATTTGTTTCCTTGAAGTGTGAGATAAAGAATGAGTGAGAAATGACGAGAGTGACTGAGAGGAACGAGAATGGGACTCTAGCCACCCATCCCACCAACCGACCGACCGACCAAACCCGTCTGCACTGCTCCCTCGCCCGCCCGGCGGCGAGCTCCCGAAAAGGCTAAATGATTTCCCTGTAGACCTACCGCACTTTTAGCATAAGTCTGCGATAAATAAGTAAAGGAATAACTTTCATTCTCTCTCTCATCTGCCGCATGGTGTCCAGCTGTTTCGGCTGTCGGAAAATAAGACTTCGTGTCACTCCGAGAACAAAGGACGCGGTGCGTCAGAACACGAGGAATAGCTCGGGTGGGCACTTCTGACGGAAATTCAAATCGGCCCTGGAACCGTGTGAGATACCTCGGTTCTTTTGCATCGATATCGATTTGCGTTCACCAATAGCAGGCCGTTGGGACGAGTCGCCGCAGGAACTGCGAAAAATCTTTTCGAACAACTTGATACAACTCGAAAAACCATCCCCCTCGAAGATTTCCAAGACGAGAGCTTTTCGGTGTTTCCATCTTCGTGCCATCGATTTCGCGGCGGAGCAATTGAAAATCGAGGAGGAATCCTCGAAACTTTCTCGCTAAGAAAACCGCCGGTCCCGACTGAAGTGAAGTGGCCTCGCGTCACGTCCTCGCAATGCTTTGCTTCGATCATCCGGTGATTGGACGATACCGGCAAATCGGCGGAAAGCCTCAAAACTAGCGGTACGATCGGTCGGTCGGTCGTTCGGTCGAGCTTGCAGACACGCGAGCGAATGGGAACTGTTTGATTCCATCGTCCCCGCCACGGCCATATTGAATTTGAAACACATCCTCCTTAAAATGTTATTAACTCGCTCTCTCCCCGTTGATCGGAAGGGATTGCGAAGTTTTTACTGTTCTTCGGCAAGAGCTTAGCTTCGGTTCCAGAGCTCCGGGCCGTCGGAGACGTCTCATGATTCCTTCACTACTTAAGCCGAACGGTGTTCGTCGGTCACAGAGTCACGCAAGCCGAAGGATTTTCCTACGTCCGCTAGGCCTTCGTGTCATGAAAAGCAGAGTATCAGAGAGAGGCACGGGCTGACCGGGCATTCCCTGCGTTCCGGGAGCTTCCTGATTGGTTTGGATCTGAACTGAGATCTCGATTCTCTCCCTTTCAGTTGTGGTCCGCTCGCTGCTGCTCGCAGGAACCTGCGACGCGATGTCCTCGATCTCGGTAAGAAAATCGTGCTTCCGCCTGATTCCTCCGATTCGCTCGTTCTCCGGAACAGCTTTTATTTGGGCGCTCGACCAGGGACTAGCTCTCGCCCGCGAGGCGGTCGACGGGTATCGTCTGATGCGCTCTGTCTGTGATTCTTTCTCGTACCGACTTCAAACTGTCCCGGAGTCAGTCCACGAAATTCGAAACACATTTGCGCCCTCACGTTCAGAGACATTACGACGCTAAGCAAAGCCGCTTTATAATAACTTCATCCCCGCAAGCCGAGTCCGCGAATGCTTCGCGTCTCTCGCTCGACCCTGTTTCGCGCCGACCGTGCGAGACTAGGGAGCCAGCCGTTTCGGAGTCCGAGGAGTTTGCCGTCATTGACCCCGTGTTTGTCCTTACGCTCTATCTGAGCAGATTCCATCTGTTCAATAATAACTTTGTCACGATCGCGCACTCTCTCCGAATGTTCCTCGAGCTCCTGAGCGCAGTGAGCTTTTCGAACCAAGTTTCGGAATACCCTTGCCTCACTGTCTCGCAAACCTGCTCGATGCCATCCGAGACGCGCCTATGTTTGAAGCGAGAAAGAAATTCAGGTTTCCTGATGACCTCTTTGCAGATACAAACGCACTCGATGTCCCCACCTCCGAAAAATGTGCAGCATTTCTACCGCTACCGGAGACCACCGCGGTCGCTCGAAGAGGACGAACCTCGGCGGCCGAATATCTCTCTGGATCTGGAATATCTCGATTACGATAACGGCAACGAGGTCCTAACAAATCAGAGTTAGTCTCAACTTACCAACTCCGGAGAGCTAATCTCATACCCCGTTGAATCTCCGTTGAATTTCCAGAAACTATTCGCTCAGGTTTTCCATTTTCGATCCAGAGGAGCCATACACGCATCAACCTGTGGTCTTGGAGCAAGAAGATCCCCACTTCGCCGAGCCCATACCGAGTGTGACGGTGGCCGCAGGGAAAACAGCTGAGCTCAAATGCATCATCGAGAATCTCGGAAACTACACAGTGAGGGATTCCGTTGCATTCTCTGCTCCCATTCTCTGCGTCAGAGCCGTAGACGAGCTATGATGAGGACTCTGGGCGTTTTACAGGTCGCATGGCTGAATGTGGACAAGCAAACCTTGCTCGCGGTTCACACGCACGTCATTTCGAACCAAGATCGTGTTCGGGTGAGTCATAGCGGTCATCGAGAATTCTCCCTGCTAATCGAAGATGTCCGGCCGGAGGACTCGGGCTACTACATGTGTCAAGTGAATACGAGACCGATGAAGAATCAAGTCGGATTCCTCAACGTCGTAGGTGAGTTTATCTCTCCTCATATAGCCTTTACACCTCGGGGGAATCTTCCCGTCGGGAGATTAAAAAAAAACATCCCTGATTACGATCCCACCACGTAGTTGCGCCGTACTTCTTGGAGAGCGTCGGCAGCAACATAACCGTGCGCGAGAACGATAACGCCGTTCTGCGATGCCACGCCGGCGGGAACCCCCAACCGAAAGTCACGTGGCGGCGAGAAGATTCTCAGGTGAGTCAATAGACCGAGAGCTGTCGTCAAGGAGGCGATGGAGGAAATACATCAAAGTGTCCTTAGTTTCTCCCAGCTACCACTGTACGAACGATCCGGATATCTATGAAGTGCCTCGTCTTCAGGTCTTCAATTTGGAAAGGCGCCTCAAAGCCACCACCTATCAGGGCTCAGAGCTTCATCTCCGCGGCGTCGGTCGCAAAGACATGGGCGTGTACATCTGCCTGGCTTCAAACGGTGTACCCTCATCGATCAGTCGCAGGATCCATCTGGAAGTCATATGTAATGAAGTGGAAAACGACTCGATCTACGATAAAAGATTTCATGCTAGATCCATTGATCTATTGATGTCTGTTTAAGAGCAATTCACGAGCTACTGCTAATCTGATACTGAGCTCTTCTATTTCTCAGTTCCACCTCTGATCAGGGTACCTCACCAGCTCGTTCAGGCATCTTTAGGGGACAACGTCATCTTGGAATGTCATGTCGAGGCATCCCCCCTCGCAGAGCCCGTTTGGCTTCATCGGAGTCAGCGTCTGGGATCCGACCACAAGTACCACACTTCCAATAGCCAGGAGGACCTGCGAACGACAATGAGACTGCGCGTCAAAATCACGCACCGTAGCGATTTCGGGATGTACAGATGCACGGCGCAAAACAAAATTGGCCACACAGAGGCGAAGATCACCCTACTGGGTACGTAGTGTCCCGAGTCCCAACGTGCGGGGCTTCGTGCAGGTTCATGACATCAATTCACCTGATCAGCTGTGGTGTTCCGAGTAAATACTCCTTGTTCATGGATCGGGAGTCGACATAAAGATAAGGTTCCGCTTTCACAGAAAGACGTCCAACCTCGATGCCGACGACCACAACTGTCAGGCCAACGAAAGCTCCCCGAAAACCCAGCAAAAGACCTTCGCAATCGTTATCCCCGCCGACCACGCCCCTGATGTATTGGATTACGACGAAGGCACCTGTATTCGTCAGCATCTTCGACATAAATAAGGGCAATATGTCGACGTTGTGGCATCGGAACAGAGCTCGAGGTGACAGGAGCAACGACACACATTTTGAGCAGAATAAGGATTAGAGGATCCGCAACGGATAGGAGGAAAAGATTTGAAACATGTTTTCCTTTTTTCCAGAATCGTCGAGTATGGCCTCTGAAGCTGTCTGCGGCTGCACTTCAACGATGCATTTACTCCTTACAGGATTGGTGTTAGTCCGTATCGTCTTTATGCCTCGAAATTTATGAAGGCACTTTGTTGAATCTAGCTCATCACCACCAATACCAATAATAGACTGTTTGTAATGCCTCAGTACAATACGAAGATCTCAATAGTTGATCGAAGCGTAAGCCGGCACCAGATACCCACCGATGTGCGGCGTAGGCCTCGCGGTATTTCGAAGCATGGCAGCATCTGCAGCGTCGAGTATAATAATTGAGACAGCAAGCGACTTCATGTAAACTATCGTTTCATCATTAAAGACGAGTTTCTTAAGATCGACGTCCTTCTCTTCTCGCCATCTCTGGTGAATAGCTCTACGAACCACTCGTGGGGCTCTCACCACCAGACAAGGAGGTTATCAAGACCCTTGGAACTTCTCAGAGATGCTCAGAGGACAGGACCTGAGCCCATCCCCTCGAAGTGCCGAGGTATGACCAGAGCCGAGGAGGGATCCCTAACCCGAACATTCGCGGAAGCAGAAGTCCATTGTAATCCGGCTCGGTGCACGAGCTCCGTGGATACAGTCACGGGAGGGATATCCAGTCCATCGACTCAGCAGAAGTGGAAAGCGGTCAACTGTGGCCTCAATTAGGCAGAGATGCCAGCAGCTTGCGGAAGCCTACGTAGGTGATGTTTTGTCGCGCTTTGACCGAAAGAGGTCCTTGTGACTGAAGACGGATCCCCTATTCCGATGCTTGAGATCCGATTCGGGCGACATACAGTTCGAGGACCATCTTGTAGGCTCAATTTTTCTCAGTCACGTGTAGCGTGCCTCGCATGAGCGGCACAGATTTTCCCGCCTGCTCGCCGAGAGCCCCACCCGCTGCCTCCGATTGGCTGAGACCGATGCTCTTGCGCAAGCTTCCTGTGCCTGCCTCGCTTGAGCAGGCAGGAGGATCAGGGACGAGAGTCGTGCGGACCTTCAACGAGCACGAAGCTCCGCCGACGTCTTAGCTCAGCATCGATGCTCTCCCACGAATGAGTCTGACAGTGCCATAGGAGTTGTGTTGCGATTTCTGGTGTGATGGGGTGTCTGCGTGAAGCAATGTCCAGAGGTTTTCCCGAAGCTCCCTCGGAAGCATCGGCGCAGTGTCGACCACGTTCCGTCTAGTGCTCGAATATGGGGGCTGAGTGTCTCGAACTCTCACGGGGCTCATCGGTCGCAAGGGCCCACGCGGTATCTCTTCGATTGAGAGGAATTTGGAAAGAGGTCAGAACGCCATCATCCCCGAGTTCCCTTGCATCATCCGGGAGCCGATTGGACTCGAGCTCTCTGGAAGTGCTCGCCTGAAGGCTTACAATCATTTCATTTACATTTACCTACCTGTGATTCATCCGGAAGCCGTCGAACAATTTCGCTACGCATGTTCAGTCAGTAGCCCTCCATGAGCGCCTTGCCGCTACGGTTGAATGCTCAACTAGTTCTCATCCAAGATCAGGATGAGAATTCCAGCCCGCTGTGGGCCAACATCACCGAGTCTCTGGCGTTGCTCTCGCCTGAAGCTTGACGTATCGCTCTCGGGACATTGCCAGCAGGAGCGGCGAATTCCCCGGAATCGAGGGACATTTTTTCATCATTCACTCGGCGATTGACGATGCATCACGAAGCACGATCGGTGGAAATATGCCCCGGCGGTGTTCGACGCAGATTGAATTCCTCCATTTATCCCTGCGATTGAGGATCAGAGTCGGACGTCTCTGGCCTCGTGCAGAGTGGTCTTTCGAACAAAATTCGCTCAGGCACGCGTCGAGAAAGACTCGACTGTGGCGCCTCTTGCCCGAGAGTCGAGATCGGGACTCATTTGGTCTCCTGTCCGCAGCGGTGCATCTCCTGAGCAACTCGAATCTCCCGCGAGCTGTGATCTCGAATGCGGTTATCCATGGATGAGCCCTCATGGAGACGTGATTCTATCTCGAGCGCGAATCGTCTCGCGCAATCCGGTGTCCAGCCTCCTGAACGGAGAGTTCCGTGGAGACTTTCGCGGGAATCGACTGCAAACTCAGACGAGGAGCCTGAGGGGAGACTATCGGCAAGACCTTGCCTGGCTCGCCTTCGCTCCAGCGGTGTACCCGCAACAAGGGGAGAAAGTCAGAGGGAGCGGAGTGAGTGTCTCAATGACACGAGAATTCTATCCCAGCTCCGCTGGCCCTCGACAGACTCCCTCATCGAGCCCCGCTCACCGCCTAATTCGATCTCGGTGTGTTCGGTGTGAGGCGTAATAACCGATTCCGAGTTCTGTTTCTCTTTTTATCTGTCCACAGTCGCGCGCGCACCGCTGAAAACGAATGGTGTTGTCCATGAAGGGACGATAAATGCCTGAGAGAAATGAAAACCGACTCACTAGCTCGCCGTCTTAGCGTACCCGTTGGTCCGGCCGTTCGTCTGTCCGCCTCCGCACGGTTCACAGGAGCCTCATCGAGTCGGGCCAGACAAAGCGAGCTCTGAAGGAAAGGGGGAGAATCAAGTAGCGAATGCGCCCTCAGACGATGGGGAGCTCCGAGGGGAAAGACCACACTTGCACATCCTCCCGAACAGGATATCGGCACATATTCACGCTCGAGAAATTCAGCGAAATTCCGAGCATGGAGATTTGATCTTCTTTCAGTTCAATCACCGCAATGGCGATCGTAGAGCGGGATGGATAGCTTCGCTCGCCTCAATCATCTGCCTGTCGTTCAGCGAATCGGGACCTAGACTCTTCTGACGACCCTCTAATGTGGAAATCTCTGCTGCCATACGATAGCGGTTTTACGAAAAATGGCATGCGCGAGACACGGCTCCACAGCGCAGCGCGCCAAAGTCTGTTGCGTCACAGTTACTTTTTCCTTTGCCTCCTCCGGAGCCCGGCTCTCCGGTTCGAGGGGGAACGTCCATACATTCTTGATCAGTCAATCTATACATGGCAAACCCACCCCGTTGTTGCAGCTGATACGGTCTGATGTGAGAGTGAATTTTCTCTAAGCTCTCAGTCCCTTGCATGTCCGCAGCAACTCCCGAACGACGCTGAGTATCGCAGAACTCGTCGAATCGTCCACGACATTCGAACGAGCGGCTAAAACCAAGCAGTCTTATTGTCTGGACGAATCCATTCTATTCGAGACTATATGCGGGCAATCCGTCTCGAAACGGAATTCATATCTCCTGTGAAGATCATCGACGGATAGCTGAGAGCTTGGAGCCCTCCGCAGGTCGCACGCGGCCATGCATTGACCTCATTGATGCAGAACCTCTGGGAGGATCTCTGGTTCGAACCCGGCAGCCGGCGATTTTCATATTCTTGGGAAAATACTGGAATACAGTGATTCCTCAGACTTGGGCGATGGAAAACCCGATTTCGGAAACTTCCTGTGAGTGGTCTCGAATTCTCATGGGGAACCATCAGCTGACTACGGCTCACTCCGACATCATCGTCCCAGGATTTGCGTTCCAAATAATTCTTGAAATCCTGCATTCGAAGGTTTGATCTTTCATCGTCTAGTGGTTTGTTTCTTGACGAGTTCATCCTCAGAGATCTTTTCGATTGGAAAGGGGTCGACGCCGGCGCTCAGCAATAAATCCCCTCGATAGTCCCCGCCTGCGCGAAGCAGATTCTTCACGCTTGGCCGCGCCTCAAGACTTAACCGTGGGGGAAATCTATCGGACTTCATTGAACAATGAAGTTACCAATGCACTAAATCGTCGCGGCGGTCGAGCTCTCACAGCATCGAATTCCGATCGCTCATGAGCTCACAAGTCACTGAAAAGAACCGAGGATCGTCGACGTTGGACGGAGGACATAAGAGCGCGGTCTTCTTCGACGGCAACCCAGGTTGCTGTGGCTCTCTCAAAGTGTATCTCTTCGGGCGGAAGTTACCACGAAAGGAAGGAACGGATCAAACGAGCGGATACGCGACGGACGGGCCCGCCGACATCGAGAAGATCGCTAACCTAGCCACGCATCAGTCCATACTGGCGATTCCTCCCGCGAGTGGGCAAACCATGAGGGTTTGCAGAAATCCTCGTGAAATACGCTCGACGTCGTATCTCTCTTCGTGTGTCATAGCATGATACGGCATTTGAGACAGTTTGAGTGCTGTTACAGGTTACAGAGTGCTGGAGGTTGGGAAGCTTGTATAAAATGAAACCAGGCCGTGTTTCACCTTGTTGTCTCATCGTCTGGAATTTGCGTCCATCAGGATCCAAATGCCGTGACCCGCGATGGATGGAGCTTCCAGGGACCCTCCACCTCGCCGTCAGATCTAGATGAACGTGCCATCCTGCCAACCACGATCGATCCCTCCCAGTAAATCAGCTTCATACACATCACCACACCTCTCTGGTTCATGCCATCGGTAAAAGTCTTTCGGTTGTCCCATTTGCGTTCTCTGGGGAAAGCTGACCATATTCGTGAGAATCGTTTGAGTGAAGATATATGTGAGTGTCCTCCGAGCGCTTCCCTCGCCCCAAACAATAGTGGAAGATGGTAGTCCTGTGCAAACGAGAAAGGAGAGCTTTACGGAGCGTCACATGCAAGTCTTTTTCGGGAATTGCGCTTGCTTAGAGAAGGAGCTCGCACGGAACTGACAGGCAGCTCGCCGACAGACGTCAGGGAGTTGGTGGCGCCGACACCGATACCTGATCTCCTGCTCCGGAGATCGATCGGAGAGGTCCACCGCTTGAGCGTTCACCGTAAGAAGAGGCTTCTGTTGGGATGACATTTTCGAGTTCTTGTCGAGGGACTGATGCCCTTGCAGCAATGTACCTCCTTTTCTCACACGTTCGTGATAGCATATGACGAAATCGCTGTCGGATAGGGATCGAGATGCCTGAACTATACCCAAAACTCTGGAGGCGCTGGAGACAGCTCATCTTTCCGTCGGAGGAAAGCGCAAATCTGAAGCGACGGAGATAGAGCTCGGGCGGGGAATTTTTCTCTGATGGAAGATATTCAGTTGTGTTGCCGAACATCCCGACTTCAGTAACATCGAAGATAAAGGTGAGCCGATGAACTGCTCTCGATCGGCCGCTGGCCGTACGGGAAGGGGGTATATCAATCTGCCGCTCGATATATCGATTCTGTCGCTCCGAGCTCACAATGTGAAAAAATCCTTTTACCCGGTCCCATGAAAGTCGTGCATTCGCCGGATGCTCTACTCCCGAGAAACTTATTCCGCATCCTGCACCTTGATCCCATAACACTCTGTGTTGGTGAAGATCTGCTTCCGAGCTCATCTCTGCAGCGAGCTCTGGCAAAACCCTCCGTGGTCTCATACCAGCCTCGGGTCGG